TCAACCTTGGCAACTTGAAGATGTGTGGACTTCAACTCCCAGAATTCCCCAGCCAGCTGGGAAATTCTGGGAGTTGAAGTCTACACATCTTCAAGCTGCCAAGGTTGAGAAACACTGATCTAGAATATATCCCATTGAGGGAGACTGTGTTAGGAGGAAGGCGTGGATTGGGCCAGACTTGAAGACTTTGTTCCCAATGGCCTCAAAATCTGGAAACTCCCATGTTTCTCATTTCACAGACTGGAAGGGAAATGGTTTAGTCAGAAGGGTCATCAGCAAGTTTCAGAAGGATTCAATTATCCTGTTTTCAGCCAGACAAAAGTGCTGAATATTTCTAGAAAGTGTGTTTCCTGCCATCATACTGCTAGTGATGCTTCTTTCAAAGGAAAACAAAACAAAACAAGAAAATCCTGGATTTTGATTGACGGCAACGGCTGTAAAATGGATCAACAACACAAACCTATCAGGTCTTTCCATGCTCGTGGGGTGTTGAATCTTCTCTGTTCTTAAGCATGTCCTGTATTGTCTCAGCATCAGGTCATTTTGCGTAACAGACTGGCATCTTCACCGCTTGTCCGCTCCAGCAACCCGCAGCTTTGAAAAGCCCCATCTTAAAATTGTTTCTGCCTTTCCTCAGTCACAGTTGGTTGCCATGGAAATGATTAAGATGACTTGCCATGGAAGGCAGCCATCAGCAGCTAAAAAAACCCTTTATGAAATAAATACCTTATTTTCATGTAAATCAGTTCTGCTTATAATAATGAGATGGGAGAAAGTGGGAAAAGCAAAGTTGACACTGTCAATACCAATACTGCTGCAGAAAATAGCATACCGTGATATTTTTTGGTGTTTATATTCTATTAAAAAGCTAAGGCCCCACCCCACAATCACCGGCAAATGTCAGGTGAATCTATTTCTCTCCTACCACCCTCTATATTCATTACGGGAAAAACAGATGAGACACGGACAGTTATGTTGGTCTGTGAGAAACAAACACAGTCCAAAATCCATTTTTGTATAATATTTCTATTAGGGCCCACCAAAATGAATGGATCAGTTTTCCAATCTGCCAGACTTCTTTCTCACACAGTACAAAATCCCACACAAAATAAGATGCAGAAAAGTTAAAAAAGTCAGTGCTTATCTGTAAGCTTGTAATGAAGATTCAGTATTAAAAATAGTAATTACAGGCAAAATTCATGAGTCCCCAGTGAATAGGCTAGTATCAATTTTGTCTCTAGCATATGAGACAAGACAATTTTCTACTTCCAGTTTCGAAAAGCAAGGTTCAAAGAATGTCATTCTTGCCCTGAGAGAAACATGCTAACTCCTGGCTTAATAGAGAACAGGAATGAAAAGAAAAACAACGGCCTTCCTTTTAGCAAAGCCCGAGATTAACTGTATCTGCTTGCCCAGTGGGGAGTTCTCAGAAGCTTGCATGCTCCCTGCTAGCTTCGTTGGTCTTATTAAAGGCATTACCCATCTACAGATTATAGGAGAGGTCTGCTGAAAAAAGCCACCATCATTTTTATTTGTTTTAATGTTTGCTCAGCCATTTCCAATATGACCCTTCAAGAGCTTTCTTAAGTTCAAATGACTTCAGGCAAAAGAAATAATAAATTAACTCCATACATTTGTGCTTGCCCCTTTGGTGCTCACTGAAGTGGAATTTAAGCTTTGAGATTTAGAAGGAAATATTAGCTATTCATTAAAGGGCACTTTATGAGTCAAGTCATAAAAGGGCATTGGAGGTTAAAGGCTGATTCACTGGCTGTTTCCAGCTATTATTAATTTAAATGGGAAACCTACTAGAATTTATCATCACTCTATACCACATTACTGGGAGGTATATTTCCTAATTCCCTATGTGGATATTAACATAATATTGTTTTGCCATGTAGAAGCATCCATGAAAAGATACAGAAACTAAAGCATGACAGAAAAGGCTGCAAGAATTAATAACAGTTCACATCTCCTAGTTCTTCATGTAATGTGACTCTAACAATGCTGTTCCAATTAAGTGAAGGTCCCAACTTCCCCCCCCCCCCCAAATTAAAAAGCATGGGGAAAGAAAAACAATCATCTGAAAGCTCAGGTCCCAACTTTGCACATGATATATCTCACCTGATTTCTTATTAAGCCATCTTCCAGTAAAGATAATCACTGCCTGGTTCCAATGCTTTGAATCTAAAAAACCCACATAATTCTTCCACTGAGTGCATGAGATTTGAAAGTGCCAACCATGCACCTGGATATTCCTATCCCTGCTTCTATTTTATATGTACTTGTGTGAGGCAGGTTTTTTTAATCACCATTATGAGCAAAGGAACAACAACAACAAAAAATCAAACCAAGAGCTCAACAGCAAATAGTGAATGAGAAGCAAGAGACAAGGAAGCAATCGCTGGTGGAAATATCACGAACGCTGCTTGGAGAAGGCAGGCTATGGAAAAAGATGAAAAGGGGGGGACAGAGGGTCTATTGGGCAGGAGACAGAGATAACAGGGAAACTTAGAGTTTCCATCCCCCTCCCCAGCATTGGTTTAGCTGCTATGATGTCATGGAATGCTTTGGAAGAAAATTCTCATTCAACACAGAAGATAAGTAGAAAGATATCTCAGCTATTGGGGAAGATTGCAGAGGGAAATGGGGGACTGGGTATCCAATGTGTCCTTTGCTCCCATAGTATTAATTTTCTGGCATTGTTATAGAGAAAACACATAAAAGACTATCTGCGTTTGTACGGACTACCAATAGTTAACATACAAGAATATCTCAAACTATGCATGCACGTCTCAAACGTGGAAGAAATACATGGACATAAGAGCTACATTTATTTACAACAGTTGAGTCATTTAGCATTATATTAATAACAATAAAGCTTTCCATGCATTTTCCAGAGCTTCTGTTTATAGTCATGGTAATAATAGCTGATACTAATAGCACTTGTCTGGTTTTCAGGAGGTAATGTTATGTATTTATATTGTTTGGTAGCTGAGTCTCAAAAGACTCTCATGAATATTTTATCTCATAGTAACAGTAAACCTAAAGATGAATGGATATAAATTAGTCCAATGTTCTATTTACAACCAACAAAGAAAGAGAAAGCGTCTACTGTGATGGATTTTCTTCATTAGTAAGAAAACCACCTGAGGAAGAGCTCTTGACATTCTTGGCTTTCAAATGGTTACGCAAAGAGTTTATCCAAAAAACAAGCAAACAAACAAACCTGTCAGGAAGTGAAGCAGATTAATGATCAGTCAACTCAAGATCAGTGCATTTTTGTTGAAATGAGCAACTGGGGACAACTTTTCTTCAGAAAGCTCAACACCTAGTCATGCACATGGCCAAACGCAATGGGTCATTGCCACTAAGTTTTTTCAATTATTTAATTATTGAATGAAATCACATCATCCATACAAATATGGATCCTTGGAAAAGTATTACAAGGACTTTGGGCCAGTCCCTCTCTCTTTCAGCCCAACCAATCTGACAGGGTTGTTGTTGTGGGGATAAAATAAAGGGAGAGAAGGTTTGCAGTACTTGGATACAAAACACCTTCCACTCTTTGGATATATAAACTACACAACTCTAAGAAATCCCATGTAAATTGCCTTGAACTGTTGGAGGAAAAGGAAGATATATATTAGATTTATATCCACCTTTCATACTGGAGCTCAAGGCAGCATATATAGCATTCTCTCCTATTATTCCCCACAACCACCTTAACTACTTGACTACTCCGGGTTTTTATTTAATTTAAAAGTAATATGCCAATAGAAATCTAGTAGTCTGGTCTGAAATCACTTGTTTGGCAGAGAACTTTTTCTGTTAACAGGTAGTTTTGTTACATGAGACAGTATCCCCAAGTAATTTTCCCTAACCATGTAACCTGTGATTCACACATTATTAAGTGTGTGTAGTCATCATAGGAAGAAAGCCGTGTTAGTTTGTGGTAACAAAAAATCAGGAGTCTGATAGAATCTTTTCTGACTAGCAATTTTTATCAAAAGGCATCAGCTTGTTGTGTGAGTGTCCTTCTATGTCCACACAGACTTATTATGGTCATTCATTCATGCTCTAGCTCTGTATCATCCTCCTTTTGAGGTATCTCTTTGGCCATTGTGGGAACCAACACTAGGTTAGC